CACACACACACACACACACACACACACACACACACACACACACACGAATTCTGCCGTTAGCGTATCGGATAACTAAATATGCGTTTAGATACCATGATGTACCGTCCACTAACATTGACAATGTCACAAGGTAAAGGCTTGCTTACAGCATGGACTCACACTAATCAGCGCTTAAATACATATGCATGCATGGTTTTCAGTTAAATTTTCAAATATTGATAAAGCAAGTTGTGTTGTGTCACCAAGTTAAGGTATTTATGTTGAGAAAAAGTTCCTAATCCTAAGGATAACTTTTAGATGATTTATGTCCAAATATTCGGTTAAATGCTTTATGCTAAGGTTTTGACTTTAAATTTGTTAAGAATAACTTATTTACTCTTTTTCCCTTCGTAATTAATTAGGTTCGAGTATTATTAATTTTTTTTTTTTTTTTTTTTTTTTTTAAATTTTTTTAATTAAAATTTTATTTTTTTTTTTCCGTGGTGTTTTTATTTTGTTCGTTTTTTTTTATTTTTTTTTTTTTTTTTTTTTTTTTGAGAATTCCTTTAATTAAGTTTAACTTTAGCCAATCGGGGGGTGCTTTCATTCATGGCTTTATTATATGTAGAGAAAATTGCCAAAGAATTACTTATAAAGTGAATTTCACTTTGGGAGCATGTGTGTGTGTGTGTGTGTGTGTGTAAGGGTATGTGTGTGCGTGTGTTTGAATTTGTATCTTACATCAGTCATGTATGTACTTTGCCCATGACTTGTTGTGATACCAAAGCGACTTGATGTCCTTAAAAAAGTCATAAACATCGTTAAATGTTAAATATATATATATATATATTTTATGGGTAAATTGAATACTTGAATGCTGTATATGACAGAGATGGGCATAAATTCGCTAAACAAAAGGCGCCACATTTAGGTTGAACGTGCCGTATAAAGTTAAAGTAGTAAAGGATCTATAAATGTACATTATTTAGTTTGGGCCAAATACATCCATTTTACACACCATCACTCGCAGGAGACTTGTCAGTCGCATCAGTTGCTACAAAGTTGCTTACAAACGACTTTTCATAAACGACTTCTAAGGGAAAGTTTGCTTTTATATGCCCACCGGGTTTAGCTTTAGCTTTGTGATTTCATAATGGAAACAGTAATGCGGACTATACTTAAGGATCGCGCCTTAACCATCCAAACCCGAAGATGCATTCATATCTCATATTTGGAAAACTATGCAAACACATTGATTGCTAAGAACATCTCGTGGATGACATTTTTTGTCAATTTTAAAAGGTTTGTAATCTTTACCTTGGCTTGTTTGTGATTAAAGGAAACATTCATGCAATAATAAAACATTTACCTTAATTGGTAGTCATCGCCGATTTGTCTTAGGCGTTGCCTTTAATGCTTCCAGTCTATTGGGCACTCTTTGCCTAAATACTGCTTAGAGTGAGAGTAAATAAATAAAATAAAAGGAGGCGAACGCCCACATTTAGTTTAGGTAAACTTTGTGTTTCTTTTATTATTAAATATTCTTTCAATAAAATGTAGCTTTAACAATAAAATCATTTTCATAACAGTTTATATTCGTATATTTGAATTGGAAATGTCAAACAATTGTATTCGGCTTAAGCCAAATACATAATACTCTCCACCTTCGTATTTGGGTGTGTAGGGTAGTTTGATTTCACACTTTAATGCCATATATGTAGGGATGGTGAGATAGTGTTCATGGAAATCGACTGAATTAAGTCAGAGGTTCAATAACAGCTATGGGAAGGACAGGGTTCCGGTCGGAAAGAAAAATGACATTAAAGTTTCATGTGCGAGTAGAGAAAAGCCTCGTCCATGTCTCTTTCCATTTCGGATCTGTTACTTAGGAAATGAAGACGTCGCGAAGTATTTACCCTATTTGTCGGTAGCAACGAACCATATCTCTCTGTACATTTGCTGTTCACTTGTCGCATTGCTGCATTGCTGATATTGCGATCATCAAGTCATTTCAACACTTTACCTATGAAAATAAACCCGGTCTGAAAGGTTTCCTATCACTCCTGTTCGTTTAGATTCAAGGATCATTTTAATCGAACTATTACTTGTTTGTTTGTTTCATTGTCATGTGTGACGTAAAAGGTCTTCTCGACTTTTTGATCTTCTTTTCAGCTTCGTTTTGTAGCGCGCTTTTTTCAAAATGATTCCCATGTGGTCATGTGGTTAACGTTTAGTGGCTCTGCTATTTCCTGATAGCTTGCGTCATTTGCAAAATTTCATCGACATCTTTCAGTGATTGGACGACAAGAGTGAGTTTCACCTTTGGCATCAAAATTTCCGGAACGGGATCGGGCCTCTCCTGAATCCATCGTCACTCACACCATTCTCACACTTGTGCAGATATACTCACTGAACTAAGTCGGGACCTCTTAGGCCGTTTACGCGGATCCCATCCCATATATTAGGCCTACCATGAAAAGTACAGTCTCCACATGGCAATTAAATATAATTTTTGTTATATTCTTTATGGAAAATAAGTTCAGAATTCTATTACATAAAATAGTGTAAAGTATTTAGGGATTGATCTTTTTTTTATTTATTTTTTATTCTTTTTCATACACACTGTGGGTGAAGAGTATACAACCGATGAAAGGTACCTTATATAAACTTGTTTTTGTATTTATTTACATTAAAAATATATATATATATTTTTCGAGCAGCTCAATGGTCGCGCACTTTCAAATGTAAAGTGCGTTAGCGGTTTTAATAAAATCCGATAGCCTTAGCTGCAATGCTAGTGCTTTAAGACTTTAATCTCGGAATTTATTCTCTGTCGAAATTAATAATAATAATAATAATAATATTTTCTGACTTCATTTCATACTCACTATTAAAGTAGACGAGTATGTTAATTTTGATATTCCGTTGGTAGTACAATGAAGTATATATTGATTGCTTGTAAAGAGTGCAATTTTTAATTCGCTTAGATAAGCCCATCTATCTGGCTAAATCCGACGATGGATTTAGCCAGATTTCATGACTCGAGTCAAAGAATTTGAACAAGCAAAACATCATCAAAACGGATGGAATGTTCGAATGGAAAATTCATTCAAACAAGTTCGGAAATAGTCTATGGTTGCGCCATATTTTTATTAATAATTAGATAAAATTGGCCTACCCCATGAATTGCGTCAATTGTTAAGTAAACAATTTTGCTAGCATTAGCTTTAAGTGATGGGCGTTTAAAATTCGCTTTGAAGCGAATATTGTTATCTTAAGTTATCATTGTATGAACGTAAAATATATATGTCATCTTAGAAAAAATGCAATTATACACTTTCTCGGAGATGAAATTGCAACAAATAAATATCTCGATATATCACAAAGTAAATCATATCAAAAATAAATTGATTTTGCAAAAATTTTGTTCTAAACTTGTTCTATAGCATATTTTTTGCAACTATTATCATAACATATACGTAGATGCATACGTACAAATATGTATGTATGAATGTACGAAAAAAGAAGAAGAAGAAGAAGAAGAATAAAATGACAATTAACAATTGAATACTACTATTCGATTGAGAAAAACAAGTGTTCACATGAAGAGAGAAAAAATTATTCTTTTTTTTTTTTTTTGTTTATTTTTGTATTAATTAACATTTAAAACAACGCTTAAACGAAAGCAATCATCGTCTACGTTAGAAACGTTATTATCAAGTTGTCATCATCATACAGCAACGACTTTACACATCCTCACCGATTTATAACAACAAACACAGAGATGACTATAAAAGGTACGCCTAACACGACGATGATTACCATTTACTTGACCATCAGGTCTAGGATTGTGTTATTTGTGTGTGTGTTCTTTTTCCGTGTTTTTTTTTTTTTCTTTCTTATTGTTTTTTTTTTTTTTTTTTTTTTAATAATCAGTTACATAGTATATCAGGAGCACAACCATTGCCTTTGTTTGCCGCATTTGGATTTAGAGTCTTTTTGTATATCATCGCTTAAAATCGCTTAATTCATACTCGTTATCATCTTGCGATTGCTTTACACGGATTGTTGACTCATCTTTCAAATGTCGTCATAAATTATTCGGTGATTCTTTCACGGACATATTGGAGTTGTTAAGAGTTGTTAAGTCTACCTCTACCAAATTGATATCTTTATGGGTCGGAATGACTTTTCTTAACGCTGTGGTGGTGGGCTCTTCTCCAAATTGTAATTGCAACGAGTGATCGGTTACGTTCGTGCATTTTATGGTTTCCCGCTTGCGATTCACTTTTTTGCGGCTGTGCCATTTAAATTTCTTAGCCAACGTTTTAAGTGAAGACTTCTTCTTACTCGGGTGAGTCATTAGTTCTACCTTAGAGTTGATTTGCAAGGGCAAGGTATCGTGCTGTCTGCGGCTGACAATGCGCGTCAATTTGAGACGTGAACGAGTCGGTCTATCGAGACTTAGTTCAGCTACTGAATTTATCGGTTTTATAGGCTGAGTGGCTACCAATGTCGCGTTCACTATATGTGGTGCTAGCGGTGCAACTGGAGCTAAAGATTTTCCATAAAATTCGGTCTCATGCAGCGGCATTGAGGCGTAGTGCCTGTGCGTCTCTCGCCACAATCGTTTCGAGTTGCTGGTGCCACTGCCAGAAGGAGCCTGTATGATTGCATCTTCCGAGTGGTAATCGTGAGATTTTTGTCGCCGCATTTTCTTTAACGGACAATTGGATTGACAATGACGTACTCCCGTATTAGATATCTCGGATTCGAGCAGGGAGTTCGCATCACCCATTGACGAGAGTTGAGAAATTTGCGTTTGCAACAGACGATGATTTTGGTGACTTGGCACTGGTACTGCAGGCAACGACGAGTTGTTGACCTCATCTCGGCCCATCAGGGTTGATTGCGAGCCTGCGCATCGGTTATAACGCGATAAAGATCTACAACTGTTCGACACAGAGCTTTGGTGATGGTGATTATATTTACTTCCCCCTCCTGATCCTCCACCGCTGCTGGTACTGTTTATAGTTGTTGTTGTTGTAGTGGTGCGTATACTATCCTGTAGAGAAAGATGGTGGCTTGGGTCACGACAATGCAATTGCATTATACGGAATGAACTATAGTGCTCGAGAGCATTATTATTCACCGTTGTATGATGCAGACGCAGCGAACCGTTCTGCTTTAATAGAGCACTGTAATTATGGTGTTGACTTTGATATTTATTGGACAGAAAATGACGAGCCAGCGTCACCTAGAACAGATATTAAACGGGAACAAAAAGAGAAAAACAAAGGGAGCAAACGCAAACAACAACACCAAACAATCGCAACAATAAAACATCATGACAATATGAACGTATGCAGAATCCAGATGAGGTGATAATAACCGGATGACATCACACAAACGCAAAGATTAAAAATGTGTATAAAATAGCGAGCAAATCGATTCATTGTGTTATAAATTCATTGCATTCAAGTATTCATGAATGTTGTTATTGGGTTTTATTTTATTTTTTTTTTTTTGTCACCCGCAGCAATTCGAATTTAAATCGAATTAAAATTTTTTTTTGCAGCCAAGTGTAAGCAGAGAGAAATAGAATAAAAATGCGAAAGAAAAAAGAAATGAGAAGAGGAAGAAGAGACAAAATAAATAGCTGTTATAATGATAATGCTAATGGGCTAATGATGTCGCAAGTTATATAATGTGTAATGAAATTGCATCTTAGGAGCTTACCTTGAACGCTTCGCGAAATTTGTGGCTCATGATGTTGTACAGCAAAGGATTTATACAAGTCGACAAGAAGTACAACACACCTGACGTAAGATTCAATATATGGAACACGGTATTGAAGACATCCGAATCGATGCCCGATAATGAACCATAAACAGCCATTAATCGCTGAGCATGAAATGGAGCCCAACACAAGAAAAATGCCACTGCGACGGCAACTGTGAGAATGGAAATCATATAAATATTTAGATCGTAGCTCGCAAATGACGAAACAACAGAAACAGAACATTTTCATCATTCCAATTACATTCGTTTCGATTTCGTTAATATTGGTTTGAGAAAAAACAATTGAGCGATGTATGGACTAACTGAAATGTGACCTATCAGTTTCTCGGAATTTTTTCTCCAAATATATTTTGATATAAACAAAGTTAGATAATCAATGCCAATCACTTAGTTTATCATGAATTTAACACTAGCTACATAGCAATGCCTTTATTCTAAAAGGATAGCCCTTCAACATCGCTTCCATCAGCACTCTTTCAATATCGTCCAAACGTTAATAAACTTTTGCTACAAATGGCGTGAGATATACAAGCATTCGAGTGAAGTCTTCCCAATAATATTATTCACCGCTCCGCAGCTTTACACTGAGTAATTAGGTTGCGGCCATTGCCTATCTCTTTCCGCATCTTATTTCTGCGTATCATTGTGATATACCTACGGAGGACATTCACAGTGCGAATGGTCATATTACAAACAAAAGGCTGAGATATTAAGCACAACCCTTTAGATATTAGGGACAATTATTTATTAACACAACCCTACCGCCTAAAAAGAATCAAAAACAAGAAAATATTACTCTGTGGTAGAGTATTGAGCCTCGAATTGCTCGAGCTATTGGACTCCGAGGAATAAGTCTGGTTTTATACACTCCTGACGATATTTAAAATAACATTTAATACTCGTTGGGACGTTATTTGTTCTCTTATTAACATTAATAAGCATACAGTCAACTATACGGAAGCCACAATCAACAAAACTCATTACATTATGCTTCAATTCATTTCAAAGAAAATTTGTAATAACAAAATTACACTTTACCAGCGGAGTGCCGTATAAATAATAAATTCAATCATATATCCCGTAGCTCTTGGTATGCTTTCTTATCTTCTTCAAAGTGTTGGAACGAAAGGAGGACGAAAAACGATTCAGATGAAAACCAAAAAAAAAAAAAAAAAAAACACAAACATATATTTTTTCTTTTTCCTTCTCTAAGATTCAATACAGTATGTGTGTGCTTGTCCTGGAAATTTTTGTTATTTTTGCCTCTTCGATGTTTCAAGTAATTTAGTTTTTTTTTTTTTTTTTTTTTTTTTTTTTTTTCATTAAAGTTATTAAAATAGAACAATTTTAACTAAGTATACTTGAACTTTGAATGATGTAGAAGAAACCAACAGCCACATAACAATCGTGTCTGATAATGAAAAAACACAATATCACACACACATAAGCACGCACACGCGGGAAAGAAAACAAAAGCAACATGCATGCTTATAGAGACCATTTCGAAATTCTAAATGTTTACATATATATATGCGTGTATACATGTAGATATATGTGGTATGTGTGTGGCTATGTATACATATTGTATCTATAAAATACTGTTTTTCTTATTCTCTTCTTCACGTACTTGACGTTCATTTATTTATTTGGACTATTTTTTTTTCCTTAGGCTTTGTTTTCTTTCCTTAAACCACTTAATGCATACGAACACGTTGAATAACGTGGCGTATGTGAAATCTCTTCAAAAATATCTTAACACTACCAACAGTAAACAAACGCATGTGTTGTTCATATCGCATTTTCTGCAAATTTCAACACAACATACCGACATACACATTCATACGAATATGTATATAAATATGTGTATAGTTTGTATGTGTATGCATGTAAATGAGTATAAGAGCAAAAAATGTGTTTATTGAAGATTTAAATTCTGTTTTCTACAACACTTCAATGCTCTGTAAATTTATACATTTTATGTGCTATGCGGTCTAACTTTCTGCTCTGTGTAGCTCTTGTTATTGTGTTGAAGTGTTAAAGAATCTTCTCATTTTCAACAAAAAAAAAGAAAAAAAAATAAAAAAAGGAAAACAAAAAATAATAAGCGAGAAACACTCGTCGTTAAATGTATTCAAATAAATTTTCACTTGCCATTAACGCTTATTTATGGAAATTGAATTTAATAAATGACTTTCGTTGCAAAGACTAAAATTTAAGATTAACTTTAGATATAATAATATGTGGGTAGCATGTAAATATAATATGCTATCCAGCTGTTTTTAGGCGACACTCTTAAACAGACAATGTACGTAAACAAAAGAAAAAAAAAAACAACAAAAAAAAAAGAGAAGAAAGCAAAGCAACTTCTATATAGAAAAAAGGAAAGATTGTTTTAGTACTTTTCATCTCATTGACCGACTGCTACGGAGGTTTGTGATTAGTGCAAATTCCGGATACACCGTGAAAAACTTCACAGTAAGCTAATTAAAAGTTTAAATAACAAAGTAAAATAAAAGTGAAATGAAAAAAAAAAAAAGAAAAGTTATTATTAAAATAGATTCTCCTAAGCGAAAAGAAAGACAGAGAGAAAGGGGAAAAAGATGCCCTTACAGTGGGGTAAGGCCGAGTGAGCATCAAATACCCTATACCATTGCATTTAGTTCAATTTTCCATTTATTTTCGAGATAAAACACCAAGCATTTTACATGTAAACCTGTATTTGTGCGGTGGATAGGAGGAATCGCAGCAAGAAAACCGAAAAAAAAGAAAATATTTATGGGAACTTTATGGATGACTACAAAAACTAATTCTTCACAATATATTTTTTAGAAAATTTACTTTACGCGTTGAACAGGATTTGCATAAGAGAATACGCCTTAGAACTTAAGTGAAAACTTTACGATATAGGGAAAAACTACCTTCCAAAAAAAAAATACATAGGGAAACTTTTTAAAAAAATTCCTATCTTTTCTCTCTCTCTCTTTCTCTCTCTCTCTCTCTCTCCCCTCTCTCTATCTGTCTTTTTCTTTATATATATAAACAGCAAAAAAATAGTCGCATAAAACCAAAGCGCATAATAAAACACACTTCGTTGCACAAAAAGCAGTAAAACACATATTTTAAAGCGGAAGCTGTGTATGCTGTAGGATCTGTAGGGATCATATCATTTTAACATAACCTGCGTCACAGGAAGTGTAGGGCAAGCAGTTCAGTGTGATCAGCTGAACCATGTTGTAACTGACAGTTTCGGCTGGCAGTTTGCAAAGTGAGTCCAGCTCTTGGCCGAAAGGGCGAGTAGTCAACCTGCCGTGAGATCGATTGTTTAAAGAGAAGACATGCAAACACAAGTTGAAAGGCTACACATTAGAACCTAGAATGTTCTGCTCTTCACATTATACTGCCAAGAACTACTGTACTGCTTTTAATTAATAAGTCTTTCGATCGATGAGTTATTGTCTATCCAAGCCAGCCTTCGATTTCTTATAATGGATGAGAGAAATGTGCAGCTAACGACGGATACTACTTCCGATCAAATTGTTTTTTTTTCGATTCTTTTGAGGTAAGGAATTTGTTCTTTTATAAAACTTTTCTCTAGATGTCGTTGTTTAAAAAAGAAAATCATATCTTTCGATACACAAATCGATTTCGTTATTAGTGCTAATCCATACATATATTTATGGGTATATGTGCGCGTGTTAGTATGTGTTTGCGCGCGTTATAAATAATTGAGAAATCTTTTATTTAGCTTGTAGTGAAGATAAACGCTGCAACACTATTCTTTTGGCATTGAATGAAAAATAATTGAAAACATCATTAGCCTAATAAGAGAGAGAGAACAACTAAACAGAGATATAACTATTGTCTTTAAATAAAAAAATCATTGTGAAGAAGAAGAAAATAGATTATTAGCATCCAGGAGAGTTTTGTGAAAATTTGTGCAAAAAATTGGTTTCTCAGGAAACGAAATAACTGCTTATGTATTACTTATGCCAAGAGTATGGTAGCAGCAATAACGACGAGATAAACGGATGTAAGAAAAGAAGATTGTAATGAACTTGCTATATTTTATATAAAACACAGAGATGTTTAATATTTTGTTGCCAAAAATATTAAGTGACATTACGCTAGTGCATGCAAGGTATTAAGACATCGAGCATGTTTAAGTATCAAAACTAAGTTTACATTGCAAGACACTACTAATATGTGTCTAGCAAAATAGCTTTGCTAGTACAGCAAATAACGCAGCAAAGACAATTTTATCTATTTTTTTTTTTTTTTTTTTTTGTTTTTGTTAACTATCATAAATCCTTTGTACTTACTTAACATTCTTATTACTCGGGTTTGAGCACTTATTCCCCTGTTTACGTCGTGGCAACGGCGTGGCATTGATTGCAATAAACGACTACGTTTAAGCTTCACTCCAATTAATACGTAGAGTACACATATGGCTGTCATCGGACCACCGAAAAATATAAAGCCCGATATTGCGAAAACATGAGCAAAGAAATCGTTGTTAATCTGCAAAATCACAAAGGTTAACTTAACTTAATTTCAATTAAAACGTGCCGATGTTATGGAAGATGTGGAACACGCACAACTGGCATTTCTTATTATAATACTTTTATTGTTTTTATTTGTGTCTTTTGGGGTTTTTTTTGCTTACCGTACATTCAATCCCGCCGTCCTCGGGTACCACAGAAAATTGCATAGCTTGCGGTAGAGCCAAAACGAATGCCGTCAACCAAATGGCAAAAATGAATTTAACAGCGCGTGATAGTTTTGACATAGTATGTTGTCTGCAAAAGCAAAACAAAAACAACTATGAAAATTTTAAAAATCCTACGTGATTTATAACGAACTTTGAACACATCTTCCTCGACGCGTACGATTTAAGCGGTGATTGAAACTTCAAGGTATGACATGTGAATGAATGAATTAATGAGAAGATTGTGTGATATATTGGTCTCTTGTAAGGAGAATATTCAAAAATATTAGTTAAATCCTTGCGGATCAATGGTCAGTGTCCAAGTTATATTTGATTATTGCAATCGTCAGATGACCATTGGATTCGTCTCATAGTCCGATCGCCCACGCGATTTTGTCGATCACTTCCCACACACATTGTTACGCTCACTTACAAGCTATTTTCCTCTCAGTCTTACTTTCGCTTACGATGACGTCAATCAGTGCCGAGGCTGTGTTCAATGCGAATCGTTTAGCTATTTGCTTAATGTCCGCGATGACAGGCTTAAAGTGAAAAACGTGTTGTATGCCACAATGTTCACCACAAAATTTCGCAAATCACTTCCGACAAACATGCTTTGCTTTAGATACATTTTCGGTGTCAGTTATTGTTTTAGAGATTTGCGATGTGTGCTCGCATTTTCCAAAATAAAAAGGCGAATGGTAATGAAAACGTACGCTTTTCTCTCTCATATTCGGAACATAATTAAACTGTCAACGACTTTGAAGAATACTTTTTTTCGGAAAAATTCCCAGTTCTTAGGTCATAGCAAAAGAATTGCCCTTTTGCTTCAGCGGACTGTTAACGGAGAACCGGACATTTTATTACGATGATTCTTACTGAATCTTATAAGGCGAACGCATGCAATTCGTTAATCAGATTATCGAAAGAAAAAAGATTATCGAATAGATCGCCAGGGCGAAAATTCATGCAGTTAACGAAGGGGGGATAAGCTACCATGCAACGTGTTATGAGCTACCCCAAGCTTCAACCAAATCGTTGTTAAGGACACTTCGACAACAGCTCGATCGTTAAAGGTAGACAAGAACTGAATATATGGCAGACATCATAGATTCGTTTTTTAGACAATGTTTGGTCTCCTCTTGCAAAACCTACGCAAGAAGCACTGAATTGTGGAGCTGGTGATAGCAGCCCCCTAAATGGATCAGGCCTTCCTTTCCCTAAGTCACACCTATTTCAGTCGATAAGTCAAAGCCGTCACTCGCATGACGATGCATAAAATAGATATTTGCGGAAATAGCCTTAAAGGATCTCTTTTCCTTTTGGCAAGAAATTCAGATTTAGAAAAAAGTACTTTCATGGCGTTCTTTAAACAACATTTTTTTTCATCAGAAAAGCCGGTCACGGTAAATTTTCGCGCATCAGGATCAGGAGTCTAGTTTTGTATTACAAGTAAAAATCGCAAATTGCTGGCTATGTTGCCATCAGTAGTAAAGCGAATTAATTTAACTTAAAGTTGAACAATATTTCAATTTTAAAATCAGATTTCCTGACGAATTGTTCATTCATGTAGTTTGCTTTACGTTTGGGTGAAATTATTATTACATATGTATGTTGAATGCAAGTGAATATCGAAAAAAAAAGGCAATAATTTTTTTTTTTTTTTTGGTTCTTATTGTTTCTTTGTCTTTCACTTTACTCACTTACCTGAAGGGATGACATATGGCTATATAACGTTCAACCGTAAATGCTGTTATCGTCAGTACCGTCGCGTTGGCAGCTGTTTCGGACAATACACTTTCCATAACGCATGGTATGTCGGTAAAAGGATACGAATAGGGATACCATAGATTGTATAAGTCCTGAGGCATGCCTGCGCAGAGATCGTATAAAATATTTAAATTTATTAAATTTTATTCGTCTTTTTTTCTTTTTTTTGAAAAGTTAAAATAAATTATTTTCAATTAAAAGTTTGAACGGCTTTGCTTTACTCACTAAATGCAATCGCCTTTCGTTGGATTAAGCTTAACAGCTTACATTTTAATTGTTTACTATCTCTACATTCGCATTAGCCGATATTATGTAACTTCTTATATCATTTTTAAATCTTTTTATTTATTGTTCTTTTTCTCTTTTTCTTTTTTTCCTTTTCTTTAATTTACTAAGTGCAATAAATCCTATCTGTTCAGTATGGTTAAGCACGTAAGAATTTAATAAATTAAATCCTTAAGGAAGTCAAACTTGTAATACAATAATAATTTAAACTGAAGACTTGATTATCCAATTACCGGTAGTTGGCAAGATTATCTTAAACTTACTTCTCTAAGTATGAAAAGGTATCATATTGAAGAACTTATATAGTTTAAGGTGATAGTGTTTCTTGGGAATAGCAGGCAGTGTTAAGTTTTCTGCATAACAATATATTTCTTCTCCTAACTCTAAAGAAACGTCGGCTTCATGGATAACTCAAATCGCTACATTGCTTAAAGCTTTATAGCCGAATAGCTTTTTCTCACCCTGCCCGTTTTCCCCACGCTTCAGTTGAATATTCGTAAATAGTAGTTCCTCCCTCTTCGCACGAGTCTTCATCATAAAGAAACGGAAAAAAGTTCTCGGCCATCTAGATCAAACTTCGTCGTGGAGGCTATTTTTTACAAACAAAGTTAATCCAGCACCAAGGCCAAGCTAACGTCCTCAAAGGGTTTTGCTAATTCGCTAACAGGACTCTAAGGAAATACACTTTTCATGGCTACAGCGATCTGTGTTGCTGATATTTGATATAAGCAAAAAAAAAAAATATCTGGAAATTCTTTGATAAATCCGTCTACGAGAATCTACCGTCGCGGGTTGGTTTACTTTGCCCGCTTTCTTAAACTTGATAAAGTCTTTCATGGTCTAAGCGCTTAGTACAAGCACTCGCTATAAATATATTTATCTTTAACTAATAGGTTAAGCTGATATCGCATATAAGCACTTCACGAACTTCACGATTCCCCAAGAGAAGCTGTCTTGATGGAAGCTAATGCTCTTACCTAACCTAAGTTGTATTTTTCTCGGAGTGAATACAAGTGTTAAGTGAAATTTAAAGTTTTGTGTTTTACTTTCCGTTAGAATGAAAATTACTTGTGTCCAAGAAAGTTAATAGTTGCGAAGAGTCCGCACAGGCGAAAATGAAATCAAGGATTCATTTTTCGACTCACAAAAATTATATTTTTAAGTTTTATATTTTATAATCTACTTACCCGACAGCAACAGTATTAAATCGGATATCGCCAGATTGAAGAGATAAAAATTGGTAGCTGTGTGCATAAATTTGTTGCGCGATATAACAATGCATGTTATTAAGTTGCCCAAAATACCAGCAAAAAATATAAGCGTATAAAAGACTGTTAAGGTCGCCAAAAGCGTCATTGATGTCTGCGACGAATGTGTTGACGTGGCTCCCTGCAGCTGAATATTATTGATGAGATCAGTTAAATTATCACTGGAGATGTTTAGCATTTGACTTATGTTTTGTTGTAACCATTCACTACGCAATAGCAATATTTGCGGTGAGGGAAACTTATCGAAATCCCGAGATGAAGATGACGCTGACGATGCCATTACGATTACGTTGTTGTCGGTCAATTGGCCTGATGATGATAATGATGCAGGTATACCTTCGACGCCAGGGGACGATGATGCCAGAGAAAAACTCTGATTGCCTTCATTGTTGAACAGCAGCATTGTCACACAGTACACACGGTGCGGAACGGTCACAGCAGTAAAGAATGCAAGGAGCAATCTCGTTTAAATTAATTTTTTTTTTATTATTTTTTCTTCTCTTTGCTTTTTTAACCTCGATTGTTAGCGCTTGTTGAACATGTGTGCACCGCATACTACAAATTACAAGCGAAGAATTACTTGATTAATAACAAACAACAATTGTTGCTGATGTTGCTGTGGTTGCGGTCGTGTTATGCACATTAATCAGCATACTGAAAACTGTTAGGGATGCATAAAAATGCATTCTGTAAATAGATGGAAGTAACGGAAAGAATTCATTAAAAAATTAAGTTTTCATTGAGAGATTTATTGAATTAACAAAAAGAAAAAAAAATTTATATTCCCTTTGCATTGAATAGTTTTTTTCTTTTTTTTTTTTTTTTAATCCGCAAAACTTAATCCATTCGCAAAGTGAAGACTTAAGTGTGGCTTTAAAATTCAAATCGCATAAAATGCAGTCCGTTTCATGCAAAAAGAATTCTTTTACATAATTTTATGTCCTTTAGTTTTCTGTTCTTCTTTTGCGCGCTCATTTACTTTCTTTCTTTTTGTTTTTTTTTTTTTGGTTGCTCAGCTCAACGACTTGTACGCTTCTTTTACTTTCACGGCGTTTCATTCCCCCGCATCTAATCGATCTTCTTAGCCTTCTTCTCCTGTTGGGGTCGCATAAAATGCATTCCGTTTCATGCAAAGGATTCTTTTACACAATTTTATGTCCTTTAGTTTTCTGTTCTTCTTTTGCGCGCTCATTTCCCTTTTGTTTCCTTTTTTTTTGTTATCTCAGCTCAACGACGCTTCGACGTTTGCTTTCGCGGCGTTTCATTATTTTCTTCTATGTTTTGCACTAGTGTTCTTTTTTCATATTTTCCTCTTCCTTCCCCCCCTCCCCCCGCATCTAATTGATCTTCTTGGCCTTCTTCTCCCGTTCGAGTCTTTCAATTTTTCCTTTTATGCGGTGTATTGTATTTTTTTCTCGTATTCCACCCTCGAACTCTGCTTACTTCAAGCTATGCTTCATCTTTTCTTCTTTGGAGCAGACCTTTCGCGATTTTCATTTCATTGATCCTTCATGTTTTTTTACTTATGTCCTATCGTTTTATTTTCTTAATTTTGTGACGCTTTCTCTTTCATTGAGTTTCATTGACATTCAAGTTTTTTACAAGACTTTGTTAATCAATCCACTTCTAGAGACCATAAAGAGCAGAGTTGAACTTCTTCTTTGGCATGCAATTATAAATTCTAATTCATTTTGCTTTCTTCTATTTTCATAAATTGAATTGAAGAATCTTTGTTTTCATCTTTTCAAGAATGTCCTGCAGAATAATTACATTAAATAATCCCGTTACTTTCCGGTTTATTTGTCTTTCAACTAAATTATCATTTGAAATTTTTCTTCTTTTTGTGTGTATGAGTTTCAACAAACCTATTAAGCTATAAATTGAAAATGACAGTGAATGAAATGCTTGCGAACTAAAATATTCTGTCAAGCAAACAAACCAAACTCAACGCACAACAGACTATTGTCCATTACACTAATTTTCTTTACAATTTTTCGTTGATTTTGTTTGCTTGGAATGAACGGTCGTTACATATATATATATATTCAAACAGTAAACAATTGTTTGTGCTTAGCAAAGCAGGCGCCAAATCGAAATCAAAAACAAACAAATTTTGTCTAAATGAAAAATTTTTCGCTCAGCAAAACTTTTATCATTTTACAGCATTTTATATATATATACATACGTACATATGTGATATATATTACTAGATAAGAATTGCTGGAATATTTCAAGATATAACGGAAGCATAAAATGATAACTTCCGAAAAGTTCTTTTACTTATTTTCGCGTAATTTTTCTAAAAATAATATCATGTATCGTATATATCAGATACCGTGGCGTACGCTATCTTATTACGAGGTTTCTGGTATAACACATTTCTCATTACTTTAGTAACATCCTGAGATAATCAAAGAACTCGCAAGTGATTAGAGTTGTTCGGTCCATCCGTCCGTTTCCATTTCAATTCTCAAATTTATGAAGGTTGGAAAGAAAAATAAATGTCTTCTGACCTGTAGATGCTTAACTGCATCTCAGTAGCACCTCGAAAAAAAAAAAAAAATTCCGAAAGTTTTCGATTCCCGTCAATAAGGTGTTTAAGAGCATCTCGAAGATCGCGAGAACATACAGCGTATTTTGCTTAATAGACGGCATGAGATCCAAGTGTCTGCAAAGCGCCTCTGGCTTTTCAATATCTTTTCATTTCAATTTAATCTTCATTTTTATAACCACTTGTTGCTGCGTAAAACATTCCTTTACTTTATACGAGCGTTTTTTCCTCCATCCTAAGTGTGAAGTTGTATAAACATGATTACAAGTTTCATTTTATAGCAGCGAACACAAACACAAACACAAACAAGTAACACCTTTCACACATCACATAAAAATGATGAAAAGATTAAAAAATGTGTTGAACATTAAACACATGGGGATACATGCACGTGCGCATGTATGCGTAAGCCTATCTACACTTATGTGTTCGTGTATCTAAAATTTACACTCGACATGAAATGATAATAAGAGTACTCAAAGGTACACATTTATGACAATATACTCCTACCGGGCGTACTCGTCGATATCATTGATTGTTTTTGCTAAATCTTATTGCTTTGACTTTAAAAACAATATTATTTTTTAATCGAAAGCTGATGACAATAAAAGCATCGTAACCTGCCTCTTTGTTGTGAGAGAAAGCAAAATGCTTTAAACTCTTTACATTTTTGCTTTAAGTGGTGGGCAGGTGCTTATTAGCTTTGCAAATTGTTCCAAAGGATGAGAAAAGCATGAACGCTTATAGAGACTAGAGAGATTACGTAATTATGCCTAAACACTTCTTACAGAATGCTAATGAAAACTTCTTGTACATTCGTACAAGGGTACTTACTATCCGTGTGCAAATTTGATGGACGAAACTATCTTCGATGAACGTACAAAATAATGCCTTAAGAAGAAAATACCGATTGTTCTTTTTTTTTCATTTTTCCGCTTCGCCTACGGCATGAGAGAGTACTAAGGTTGTACGTGTGTACGCAACACCCAGAAGCACTTTGAATAGACCGACCTTTTATTTTACTGAGTGATTCATAGGCATTTTCTGAACCGATCTAAACTTGTCTGTCCGTCCCCTTGTCCTGTCTCCTCCTGTTCAATCTACTGCCAACAATTTGTAAGATATTTAGATGAAATTTGGTACACTGACGTGTTTTCGATCAAGGGCGAATGCTATTGAATATCGTTCGTATCGGACCACTTCTTCAATCATCCCCTCTATGAAGCCCTACTTTGAAAAGCCGTGCTATGAATAACTCTAGGGCTGTGCAGTATAGTTAATGGTGAACTGGGTCCCATTATACACGAATTTTACCTCAGTCAAAAACAGGCTTTAATATCTCCGATTTTCTGGTACTTTTCGGGAAGTTTCATAGTGTCGTCTATGGTTTTTCCGATGATTTTTCATAGAACTCTCTTAGATCACCTTTACAACTTTAATAGCTTTTTATAGAGAGGAAATTGTAGACTGAAATCTCCTTTTGAAAGCGCGCATCAATACGATTGTGTGCTCTGTACGATGCCAAACACCATCGAGTGACAGAAATCTCTCAACATTTTTCCCCCAACCCAATATTCATATGTTTGGCTTTGAAATATTAAAACATGAGCTTTTTCCCAGAAGAAAGATTGCAAATCTTGCCCTTATCTGTCGATTCGGTTTAGTTAACTTGTGTGGACATTGGCTATGTATCGAACAGCTGCTAACTCATTTCTAGGTAAATTCTTGCATAAAACCTCAATATTTCTTTTGCTGTATTCTATTTAACTTTTCTAAAAAGAAAAATACAACAATGCTAAACAAAGAACCGACATTTGCTTGTCATCATCAATAAGTTATGATGCGATGAAATTAGTTTCCATAAAGCTTGTTGGATTTATTCTTTAGAAGCACGTAAAAGTTCGATTTGCAAATGTTCGCCTTAATGTCATAGGTTTTCGTTTTAAGTTTTCTTGTTAAGGGGAAAAGTTCAAAGTTGGTCTGATTTTTTAAATTTCAATCCGATATCATAAACTTGTCGCCGCACACCCACATGTGTATAAAATGTGCAACATTCTAACTAAACACTTGACTTCTGTTAATATTTTTTATTTATATTATAGTGCAAATCAATTTTTGGAAAGAATACCAATATTCAGTTTCGGTGGACATAACATTTCAATTAAAGTCAATCCGATCAACAACACATGCAATGCAAACCAATTTCGAAAAACTTACTACATTTTGCCTTAGCCTTAATCTTTCCTGACTACTATCACTCCCACACGTGCAGGGGAGTAGGTCAAGTATTCAAGTCTTTCAGATTTTTATAGCAGACTTATGCATAACATATCTCAACTACAACACGCAAAGTGTTCTAGCTATCAATGGTTTTATCAATTAGTCATTTTGTGCTTGATTGCTTGCTCGATTTCATAGACTTAAGGATGCGTATGCTTGTCAGCAAAGATATCATAAAACGCCACAGGTTTTTTCTTATTAGAATATGAAACTATTTTTCCGCAGTTACTCCTGTGAAAGAATCTCCGAATGACATGAAAGGAAAGATTAATTAATTGACAGAAAAACTATTTGAACGTCGACGCCATTACTGGCTTGAGAATGTAAGTTAAACGAACTGCAAAGCAATTATTGAAATTAAGAGGAGATACTCCTTTGGGATCACGAAATAAGTGATAATTTATTTGCGAATGACGGATTAATTTACTGAAACTAATTTGTTGGATATGTTTGTACATCTTTTCAGGTATATAGGAAGCAAAACTTTATACAATTTTAATTTTAAAATTTAGCTTTAGCTGTTTTACAAAGCCTGCCTTTGTTTGCAAGAATAGCTGACCAAAAAAATTAACTGTACGGAATTTTTGACCACATATGTCTATTTTTTGGAGTTCTACTCCACATAAGTGTTGTTATGAAAAGTATGCTTTTAGAGGGGAATAAAAACTAATTTTTAACTTTATGACAAAAATGAATGAAACTTGGACCATGGACCGAAATAACATTAGGCGAAGTAGTGTAGATTACTTAATATTCGGTCTTGCCCGCCTACTTTAAATTGGACATCTTAAGGCGATTGTTTGCAAAAATGCTCCGATCTAATGCGTTTTCAAAAGGACATGTCCTTGGATTGAAGCAAGTCAGTGTACAGACTTTCATGAGAAAAACCTCTGAAAATTCTAGCTGTCTTTTTAAACACA